GTGTGTATCCTTGTACAGTGAAAAGATGTGCAGCTGAGATCTTTTAGATAATGTGGAGTACAGATTTTGCAGCCCATAATAAACGTTTTATTATACAAATGTGGTACCAAAAATGGTGCCATCTGTGAAATAGTTGATCCATATTTGGGAATCAGATTACCATATAAGGTAGGATGTAGATACGCTGTGCATTCCCACGAAATTATGGTTGCTGTAATTTTAGGGGATACAGTGAAAGATGAATAATAATGTCAAATATGCAGGAATGATGCAAAACATTTTTTATGTTTAAATGGATTTTAGATATCCATAATCTGAAGACAATGTTGACGAGAATATAAAGACATCGTTTGCTTCACCATACTTGCCTATGTTAGGCGAGGTGACATTTCTTTTCATTAAATTTGGTTGGTAAATATTTTAAACACTCAAATTATCATATTCTCAAAATCATATTAAAAGTCAGAAACTGGCCTCTCATGGGGAATATAATCGTATCTTTGGCCTGTATTGGTTCAGGGCTGTTTTGTTCTATAATTTGTAAATTTTAATAACAATACTTTTACAACACTATTTAGCACTTCAAACCATGATGGTAATACCATCAATAATATGCAATAATAGTAAGGTAAATGAAATTGGCATATAACATTACAAGATTATTATGAAAATGTATTAGTTAATATTTAGTGACATGAAATATATGATAGTAACAGAGCTATTCTAAATACAAAATATAACATTAGAGGAAGTCGTAGCATGATTAAAAGGGAAACACAGGTGAGTTATTAAGATTCCATGCGAGCTATTACAAAAAAAAAAATCAAAGAAAGCTTAGAAAGAACTCCCGTGTGAGAGTTGGAGACACATTAAAAATTAATTCAAAATTACTTGTGCACAAGATATTGATGGAAAAGCTGAAAACTATGTAAATCAGGCAACTAATATGAACAGAACCAAAAAATTATGAATTATTGTGATAATTAGGAAATTAATATGGACAAATTTTAACCCAAAATTAATCAGGCCTGTCTATTGTCCTAGAGCACTTATGTACCAAATTTTATTCAAATGTGATGATCAGTGATTGAGACAGTGTTAATTATGTTAATTAGGTGATGAATAAGCATAAATATTTCCCAAAAACTAACTGGGTCTCTGCATCGTTTTCTTTGAAAGTTTCATCAAAATCCAATTCGTGGTTCTTTATATATCAGTGGTACATTATGCAAATTAGATAATTAATATTCAATTAAAACTAATCAGGTTTCTGCATAGTCCTAGAAGATCTATGTAGCAAGTCTCATTGAAATGTGATGATTAGCACTTGAGATATCAGGCAAAAAGCTGAAAATTAATTATGCTAATAAGATAATTAATATGCACAAATATTTACCCAAAAACTAATCAGGGGTCTGCACAGTTCTTAAGTAACTATGTACCAAGTGTCATTGAAATGTGACGATTACTACTTGAAATACCAAAAGCTGAAAATTAATTAATTATGCTAATTAGGTAATTAATATCTACTGATATTAGCCTAAAACTATCAGGTCTGTCCAGTGTCTTTAGACTGGCTTTACTTTCAAAACATGTATCCATCCAGCCAAGCAGTCTAGCTAGCTGGATTACATTTCTATTAATTATGCGTAAATATTGGCATGGCCTGGTGTTCGATTTCCATCCTAAAGTACTTTATTTCAGGTTTTTATTTTGTCTGTCCATCACCAAATTTATGACACACAAGCTACATGCAGCAAACAAATAAAAGTGATTGCCGCCATTGAAAGAAATGAGTTGAGGCCTTACCAATTGGCGGACCAATGATGTTGCTCGTTTCCGTGGTTACTGGATCTTGTGATGTAATCTCTATGGGATATTCTGATTGAGCAGGCATGTTGTGATCAGTATACAATGGTGATTTAAGGGATGTGTCATATAATCGTACTCTGGTTGGCGTTGTTACCTGAACTGTTTGATGGCCTATATGGATATCAGAGATAGAAGAGAGATAGTGGACACAAATAAGCATTCACTTGACACATTGATCTTTATTTGTTAAATGATTATGTATGTGCATTTTTAAACCTCACAACAATTTGTACAAATTACAGTGCAATATGTGCAAGACATTTACTTTTAGAAAACTGAAAAAATGCAAAAGCAATAATCAAGTGAACGATACCCAGAATGAGATTGATTTCCAGATTTCAAATTTCCCAAAGGTCTTTATTTTAAGGATGGGCTTTGAGCGAGGTAGTTTTTATGCTACTAGCCTACCAAGGAAGCTTCTACAGCTTCTCTAATTCAATCCTTTAGGTTCATGGTAGAATCTGCTCTACAACATGAAAGAGAAGAGATAATTGAGAGACTAGAACTTGATAATGAATTTTATATTTGCTCTGTTAGTAGCATACGAAATTACAGAGGTGTTTATACAACAAATGTGAATTTTGGTTCATATGCTCTTCTTTTGGAGATGTACTTCCAATAGAGTAAATGCAGTACATGTTTACCCAAAATAATTGAATTCATACTCAACAATACACAGATCAAATGTCATCATCAAGGTAATTCAAGGTGCCTTCATGTTTTTTGCGCCAAAAAAAGATGATTTTAAAATTTGGGAATTGTTTCATTCATTCACCACAGCTTTGCACCACACAAAACCAATCAGCAAACTACATTCAAATAGAAGGGTAGTTAGGCTGCTAATCAGGTTTTCTTAGTATCTGAGTTTTACTGTAATATTAGCAAAGCAATTACTAAGCCATGGATTAATATACTACAACAATTCTAACCTACTTTTATATTTAATGAATTTAATTTAACTATACAGCATTTAACAATGTGATAATACTAGGTGGAGCTGAGCCAGACAGCATTGCTACCAGGTGGAGCTGAGCCAGACAGCATTGCTACCAGGTGGAGCTGAGCCAGACAGCATTGCTACCAGGTGGAGCTGAGCCAGACAGCATTGCTACCAGGTAGGGCTTGGACTTGCGGTTTTTAACAAGAAGTCGAAAATATCACTTTTTACCAAAAATTACAAAAATATTCACCAAAATTAGAGAATTGAAGATATCAACATGAAATGAACAAACCTAAGAGAGGTCTACCCAAGGTACATATACACCAAGTATCAAAGCATTCAGGCTTGTAGTTTTCAAGAAGTCGAAAAAGTAAAACATTGACACGGACGACGACTCACTCATATGATAAGCTCCGCTCGACAAAGTCGACAGCGGAGCTAAAAAGTAAAACATTGACACGGTCGACGACAGACAATCACTCACATGATAAGCTCCACT